AAAAAGACAATTACCTAATATCTTTAAAAAGTTCCATCTTGAGCCCCTCCCTGGGGCACAGTGGGTTAGGACGAGCAAGCTGGCCACAGTCCCTTCCTTGAGAGTTCCATCCCCAGCCCCAGAGGTGACCCAACATGGCACAGAAGACCTCTCATGTCTGGCCCGGGCACTGCTCCCCTCAGCGGTGTACTTCGTCCATCTGCCTATTCTGCTCCCCACTTTGTCTGGTGAATCCTCTCACAGCCCCTGCGCCTCTGGCCTGTATCCCAGCTCTGTATGCATAAATTAAAAAAATAAATAAATCATTTTAAAATAAATAAAACCTCTATCATAGTTTATGTTTATATTGTAACTAATGCAAGGACAGAAATGGATAATATAATCACAAAACAAGTTGCATGATTTGGCTGTCATCACTGAGAATCCTAAAGAAACAAGAGTTGTGTGAATAGATACCATCAAAAAAAAAAAAAAAGACACCTGAAAGTGCAGGTCAAAATTTCCTCCCCACACCCCCATTATCTTGTAGGGGCTAAGCATACATCTCTTTCCCCTCTTAGTCTTTCATTCTTAAGCTAGTGCCAAAAACCTAATGCTTTCCAAAATTTGAATGGCATGTGAAATTCCTCACATGCAGAACTTCACAATCCTAAACTTCAAGAAGGTGCTGCGATTCTCCAAAAACTAATCATATGAGGAATACAGAGTGGACAAAGTCTTTTCCTAGAGAGCTGACCAAATGTGTATTTGCTGTAGTACCATTGATTAGATGGCTCTCTGGCCTCTTGTTTCAAGGCCACAGATTGTACTGTTTTCTAGACATTTTTCTTACAAGTGCATACAGCAGGTCACAAGGATTTCAAACAGTGAGCAATGCAAACTCACTGTCAGTACAGAAAAACAGCCTTCCATACTGCGTCCGCATTAAAAAGTCCAGCAGACATTATGATGGTGTTATTTTCAGTAAAAGGTTTATCATTACAATCCTTTCATGTTCTTTAAATGGACAGAAAATGGACACATTACTTTCTAAGCCCTACACCCTTAACAAGAAAAGGAGGTACACTTTTTAAATCGCGGGAGAACTTTTAAAACAAGCACCACAGAGAAAGAGAGGGCAGAAAGTCAGCAAAACAGTCAAAGCACTGGACGGCTAGCAAGGCGGAGGATGCCAGGGGGCGGGGTGGGTTTCGCGAGGTTCTAGGCAAGCCCTCTGATGACGTCACCCCACCTACATAATGTTTCAGCAGTCAGCACAGGCCTCCTGCCTTCCCATTGGTGAACAGGGTGTCAGCCGACATCAGAAGATAATCATCATTGGCTAGACAATTACAACTGGATTAACTAGCATGCAGCGCTGTTAGCAGAGACCTGGCAGGCTGCAGAAAGGGAAGCCGAGCCCAGCTGCCTACTCAATGAGTGTTCTGCAGCATACCCAAGCACTAGTGGGTCTTGCTCCCAGACTAGCAGCTTTTCTAAATGCAGTCAGCTACTACTGAGCACGAACGGGGAAAGTCAGCTGGCAAAAGAAAGAAAAGCCTCTCTTTTTAATGTTGTAAAATCACCAGGGTTTTTTCAGTGTCAGAATGGAAATCAAAACGCTCCTGGCAGTAACCAGCATTTTCCTCTACCTCATGGAATGACTCGTTTACTAGATAATATCACCCAGGATATTTTAAACTTGACATGTTGTGGTTCAAAGATGAGGTTGAGGATGATTCTCCAAAGGATTATGTTTTCCACTTCCATTTAATTGTTGTTTTAATCTGTTGCACAGGAAACTATTTGCTGGAAGAGAAAAAAGTCTATCATACTTATCCTGGGTCTGAAATAACACAGGGTTAATCATTTACTAAGGCAGCCATAAACTTGTTTCTGTGGAGTAGTTCAGTGTTTACACAAACAACACGCCAAAAAAGGGGGCCCATTGTTTATGAGGCAACAAGATAGTGACTGTGAATTGAACACACCTTATTTAAGGAGCTCCTTAGTGATAGGCAGTGCAGACAGCATACTCAGAAAAACCACTCCTGGCCTCAGACAATTGCTGTGGATAGCTGAGAATCAACCCCTTGCAATAACCAGGGAAGCCCTGCATCCTGCAATTCTTCAAAAGACTGTGTAAGCTCATTTTTCAGAGAGCAATTTACAGTTCTTTAAATTAACAAGTTTTGTTTGTGGGCAGCTGAGAGATCTGAGGACAACTGGATATGTTTTCTCAAGAGGTAGAGCAAAGTGTCAGAAGCTGGTTCAAACCATTTTAGGCTAATGAGTCTGGAAAAGGTTAAGATCTGCTCTTTGCAAACTTCCCTTGCCCAGAAGGAAGGCCTAACCCTCGCTAATGCAGAGTCCTTGTCATGTTAACAAGGGCAAAGAAAACCTTTTGCTAGGCACCAGATCCAAAGACTGGGAGTGAGGGCTTTATAAAAAAGTAAGCCCCCAGGATATTGGCAGAAATGCACATGCACACACCCCTGGTTTGCAAAGATTGGTTTCTTTGACTGCAAAGAACATGAATCAACCAAGAGAAAAGCCAAGGAAGGAAAAACCCTAATAGGTGACTAGACTACCTTTTCAGAAGGCAGTGGAGATCCTAATATGTTAAGCCTCAGGTTTTAACAGTAGTGCTGGCAATAAAATGGGCAGCCATCACTCCTACTGGCTGGACAAGCATTTCCCCCTGACATCTGTCACGCACAAAGCATTTTTCCAGGCGGTGGGCGATCTAGAGTGGAATAGGACAAAAAAGCAGGCCCTGAAGAACTCAGTAGCTCCAGCAGGAGGCACAGACACATCCATATATATATATGAATAAAAGCCAGGAAAAGCACTGCCAGAAGAAGGTGCAAAAAA